ACAAAAACGTATTATCTACGCATGCATCTCCGCAAGAGTCACCACCAGCCAATTAGGACATGTGTCAAAGTATTGAACGTTTTCGTTCCCTTCTTGTCAAAATACTACAGGGAATGATGGAAATAAGCTAAAAGACGACAACTATAAGGGAAAGAAGTTCAGAAATATATCACTCCAATTACACACACAACAGAGGCGAAAGGCTGTGTTAGCTGTAACTTAAAGTTTCACGCAACGGAGCGATCATCAGACAGCAGCATTCACTATCGAATTCTCTACGAGCAGGCCTAGATATTTGATGCTAGTGTGGAAGTTAGTGCATATGTGCGAAGTGAAGACGTGGCATTGGGACAATGGTATTGAGTTGTTTTGTGAGAGTTAACCGATATAGGTGAGAATAGAGGCGATAACAGGGCAGTGTTACCGAGTCACTCCAATTATGTGTAGAAGTAACACGAAAAAATAGATGTGAAGAATCAAGAAAACAGCATGCAAATCCAATAAATGACAAAAACGTAGTGCCAAGAAAAAGAGAGAAATATCAAGAGATCAAGGGATCTATTTCGCACCTTCACGACGAACAGTGCCATACAACTGCAAAGACAACACATTCTCCTTCTGAACACAAAGCTCAGGGTCTAACTTACGTATGTACAAAGCTTCCAACATGGCAAGATGTAACAAAGACCTACCACGCGACAAAACAGAGAATACATCATCGGAATACCACTCATGGCAACTAGCACTGCCCGACAGGTGACACTTGATTGCCGAGGTACCGTTTCCCTGACCCGACGACTTGGCCGTTGTCACCTCCGATCGGAGGTGACAACGGCCAAGTCGAATAATAATAATAATAATAATATTAACTGGTTTTGAGGGAAAGAGATAATAATAATAAGAAGAAGAAGAAGAAAGGGTTTGCTCCCCACACCGGAGCTCGCGCTATTCCGCCGACTTTACTTGACACTTGACTGACTCACGACTGCAATCCAGAGCACACGAGAAGTCCATCGAACCTTCGACTCGGCAAACCTGCAAGAAAGCACCACTCCCTGCTCAATACACAGTGTTTCGGGGAATTCACCCCTCATCAGTTGAGCTTGAGTAGGCTGAGGAAGATTGTGCCTGAAGAGCACCACATATATTGTGCTCTCGAGGCACAAACATCACCAGGGATACAAACTTACAGAGACGCTCCGTTTCCAGCGTGACAAACACCTCGTGAACACCAGATAGCAGCGTGAGTCAGTGTCGCTCCTGGACGGTAAGACAGACGTCGAGGACCCTCGGTCATTCGCAACGCTGTCACCTCCAAACCAACTAGTCGCAAGCCCGCGCTGGGCACAACAGTACGAAGTAGGGGTTGCGACTTCGGCGATGATTTGTAAGAAAGGGTTTGCTCCCCACACCGGAGCTCGCGCTATTCCGCCGACTTTACTTGACACTTGACTGACTCACGACTGCAACCTTTCTTACAAATCATCGCCGAAGTCGCAACCACTACTTCGTAATAATAATAATAATAATAATAATTCCCGTTTGTCTCTTTCCCTCAAACCAGTTAATATTTTATGACTTGGGGCTCCCCGCGTGCTAGTTTGTACGTGAAGTGCGTGGGATACAGTGAGGGCTGCGTCCCACCCGCCTGTGTGGATTCATAGGAAGTGTGAGTTACGAAGTCTGAAGAAAATGTTGAACGGCCTCTGCTGGGATGACGACTACACCATAGCTCAGTGGTTAGAGCATCGCTAGCAACAAGCGAAGGTCCCTGGTTCGAGTCCTGATGATGACAGTCAATTTTTTCTTCAGACTTTTCCCGTTTGTCTCTTTCCCTCAAACCAGTTAATAATAATAATAATAATAATAATAATAATAATAATAAGAAAGGTTTGCTCCCCACACCGGAGCTCGCGCTATTCCGCCGACTTTACTTGACACTTGACTGACTCACGACTGCCATCCAGAGCACACGAGAAGTCCATCGCACCTTCGACTCGGCAAACCTGCAAGAAAGCACCACTCCCTGCTCAATACACAGTGTTTTGGGGAATTCACCCCTCATCAGTTGAGCTTGAGTAGGCTGAGGAAGATTGTGCCTGAAGAGCACCACTTATATAGTGCTCTCCAGGCACAAACATCACCAGGGATACAAACTTACAGAGACGCTCCGCTTCCAGCGCGACAAACACCTCGTGAACACCAGATAGCAGCGTGAGTCAGTGTCGCTCCTGGACGGTGAGACAGACGTCGAGGACCCAGTCGTGAGTCAGTCAAGTGTCAAGTAAAGTCGGCGGAATAGCGCGAGCTCCGGTGTGGGGAGCAAACCTTTCTTACAAAATCATCGCCGAAGTCGCAACCACTACTTAATAATAATAATAATAATAATAATAATAATAATACAGTACAAGCTCTTTACCGCCGCCATATCGAAGATTATGTGGCAGCACATCAATCAACATGAAATACTTGCAACGGAGCAGCGCGGTTGTGCAGCAGCTGGTCTTGGTTGCAAGGAGCACCTGATGGTGGATAAGATGATTCTGGAGGATGCCCATACGAAAGGGCGAAATCTGGTCATGGCATACCTGGACTTCAAAAAGGCATTTGATAGTGTGTCGCATGAATGGATTCTACATGCTTTGACGATGTATCGATTCCACCCGTCTTTGGTCACAACTATTGCTCGTAGCATGCAGAACTGGAGAACGACAATGCACATATGCGACCAGGGAAGATGCAGGGTCACTACCGGCAACATTTCAATAAGAAGAGGCATATTTCAAGGTGACACATTATCCCCTTTACTGTTTTGCCTGGCGCTAAACCCAATCAGTTTTGAGCTCAACCGATTGCCTTTGGGATACAGAGTCAGCTGCAGAGACGCCGAGTTGTCTATCAATCACTCTTGGTACATGGACGACATTAAACTCTATGGGAAAACTACAAAGGATGTGACTACCCTCGTGTCTACCGTGTGTGGCGTTGGTGATGACATCGGCATGAATCTCAACCCGGCCAAGTGTGCCGTGCTGCACGTCAGGAGAGGAAAACCAGATGAAGGATGCTCTATCCAGGTTGGCGATGAGACCATTGCAGAGTCGCTACGACTCAATGAAACATACAAGTACCTTGGAGTAGTGCAAGCAGCCATGATACCTCACCCGAAGCTCAAGACGCAACTCACTGCAGAATACAAAAAGAGATTGTATTTGCTTCTTAACAGTGGATTGAATGCGCGAAACATGATCAAGGCCATCAATACGTATGCTCTGCCGGTTATGACATATAGTTATGGAATCGTAAATTGGACCGAGGCTGAAATCAAGACCACAGATCGAGTGACAAGATCAGCCTTGACTGCGTCTGGATTTCACCACCCCAAAGCCTCAGTCAACAGGCTCTACATGAAGAGGGGAGATGGAGGCCGGGGCTTGGTCTCTTGTGAGGATATGCACGGCCGGAGCATGTGTGGCCTGGCCCGCTACATGAGTACCAGCCCAATAGACAGAATAAGCCTGCTTTATCAGTATCATCAACAAAAACCTACAACAAAAAGCCACTCAATAACTGCAAAGGCCGCTAAGTTCCTGTCGAGTTTGGATCTGCCAGCAGCTGGACCAGCTTTACCCAATAAGCATACCATTAAACAAGCGTGCGCTGAGCGAAAATCCAAAACACTTTCCACTATGCCGCTGCATGGGAGATATTGGAGCCGATTGGAGGAGAATCGCCTAGATAAGGAGCTTACCTTCATGTGGTTGAAATCAAGGACACTGAAACCTTCAACTGAAGGCATGATTATGGCAGCACAAGACCAATCCCTCAAAACGAAAAATTACCAATACGCCATAATGAAGTCAATTCCTCGAACTGATGCCAATTGCAGGCTTTGCAAGGGCAGCTTAGAAACAATTGACCACATTGTCAGTGCCTGCCCAGTTCTGGCTCGGACCAGTTACATTGAACGACATAACCGGATAGTAAAGTATGTGCACTTCGAAATGTGTAAAGCACGAGATCTACCTACTGGTGCTTCACGATTCGACCACCAGCTCAAGGCATTGGTCAAGAGTAATCAGTATCGCCTCTATTGGGAGTATTCGGTCCCAACTGACCTGAAACTATCAGCAAACAGGCCCGATCTGCTCCTTGTTGATGACAAGGAGCGCATCGCCTACATTATAGACATCAGCGTTCCTGGTGAGAACAACATCAATAAGAAAATGGCTGAAAAGCGCTCGAAATATTATGATTTGAAGCGGGAGATTTCGAGGATTTGGTCCCTCAACCAGGTTGACGTGGTCCCTGTGGTTGTCGGTGCCCTGGGAGGCTTGGTGGGGGAGACTCCTCAATGCCTTCGGACTGTGCAGGGAGGAGACCTGGCTATTGTGCAACAGGAGGCTATACAAGGTTCGATTAAAATACTGAGAACTATCCTTAACATGTAGATGCACCTCTGCTGCGTTTGCATGTTCAATAGCTAAGAGACTTGAATAACGACTGATAAAGACTGATATTTCCTTTGTTACTACTCCCTTCATTGGTTGATGTATTTTGCCTGTCGCTGCAAATTCTTTATTATTGTTTTGATGTTGGAGTTCGGATTGAGTTTCTTTCCTTTCTTCCTCTTCCTTCAACTAGTTCTTGTCCCTTTGGTTTTTAGGTTTTATTTATTTATTTATTTTTGTTTTTGTTTTTTCACTTTCTTTTTGCTGTCCCACCCATGGAAATATTTCCCGGTGGGTCTGGCTTATCGCCTTCGAAAGAAGTGAATAAAGGAGAAATAATAATAATAATAACAATGGACATACAGAAATTTAATTTTGAAAAAAAATCCTCGTGGAGATATGGTGGTTTTTGCTGAGTGCACTGCTAGCACGTGATGACGTTGTGCTATCAAATTGAGCTATTTATCTCCCGGTGGCGTTCTCACACAGTAATGCATGCTTCTTTCTCTTGTTCTTGATGGATTTCAATGCTTTACCCATACTTAACAGTATATATGCGTTGCCCCAGTGATATCAAAGTAAAGAATGGAATCGTTACTGTTAACAGTAACTACACAGATGGAAATGCAACTGTTACATGTAACAAAGGTTACCGACCACCAAATGCTTTGCCAATGAAGTGCGAAGAACACAATGTGACGCACAACGTGTGGACCAATATACTTACCTGCAACCGTAAGTTAAAACGAATGGGTGTTCCGGTGTTGAGGACAGTAGATTTGTTCTTATGCAGACCTCCCATGTCCAGGTTTCTACCTCAACTAAAAAAGACTTGCAAGTGCCATTGACAGCCCGTGACACTGCAATCATGATCCTGTGTAAATATTCCCACCATTGGAGAGCATGGGAGGGTGGATGTCTGCACACAGCTCTGTCCATGAGAATTGAGCATTGTTTGAGCAGTGAAAGTTGCCTACTGTGTACTTTCTAAGTGGTGTGAAAGAACAATTGATAGGAACCAGAAAAGAGTGCTTGCGTAATTAGTGTTCTTGGATTGAGCTGCTTATCTTCAAATATCTTGTCATTCACTCGTTCTTTACTCTCTGTGTGTATTGATGGCTATCAATCACTTGGCCACTGAGTGCTGGATGGTGTATGCGCATTGCCAAAATGATATCCATGGCCAGATTGGGATTGTCTTCAATAATGACACTGAAGACATTATTTTTCCATGTGTCTTTGCTTTGCTGGTATTCGTGCATTGTTCACGGCTTGTCCTGGTGGATGTATATTATTTGCGAATGCTCTAAAGTGAAGCCTGCTTACTGCTCTAGTACAATCAATGTAACCAATGGAGTTGTTCGTGTTAACAAAGCTTATCTTGGCGAAGAGGCAAACGGTACATGCAATCGAGGCTACAGTCCAACGACTAATTCAACGATGAAATGCATGGTAAAGGATGAATTAGCCGGTGTCTGGACTAATGTACTAAGCTGCAACCGTAAGCTTCACTTTCTAAAATTGTACCATATTTGTGCCACCATTTAGGAACCCCATCTGACGTTTGATCATAATGCGGTGGCGTCAAAAGGAAGCGGAGAGGTGGCTCTTGTACGCGAACCCAGTTTTTTTCCTTCATTAACCTGGGAACACCCAAAAGTTGCACCGAGTGTACTGGAATTGCTCCACCATGGAGACATAACGCATCACACAGAACAACAAGGCACCACACCACAAAGTCACTTATATCCCTCGTTCCCGGTTTTGGGGTTCAAAGTGACCCGTAGTGTATGGTTTATGGTTTTATTATCATATCAAATCGGGACCAAGAAGAGAAAATGTGCGACAGCTAGTCTTTATTGAGGATGCTTGACTACAATATCGAAACGAACATGGAAGAGAGATAATGTGCTATGTACATGTACAGGAGGAAATGTCCAGAACCGATATTCTCTTTACGATCTTCAGTGAATGTACATGACAATGGATGAAGTTTGACTACATGTATATTGTTTAACCGCATACTCGAATATTCGAAATATGTTTGGAAAAAAACTCCAAATAATCTACTTGGAGATAATAATTTTAATATAGCTATGAATAGGATGAAGGCCGCAGACTCTTGTCATCCGCTCATCTGATCCCAAGTCGTGGACCCCTGAGTGCACACAAGTGATGCCTATCAAGGACAGAGAATGAAGGAAATGGCGGCACGACCTCGGCAATGACGTCAAGAAGCAATCCTTCATCGACTCTGTTACCCACGCTACCACCACACTTCAGCACTCCAGGCAGGAGAAGGAACGGCACCTTCGGGCCCAACTCACCTGCGGCTCGCTTCGCGACAAGGCATGGTGGTGCAACCTGAAAGGAGCATGCGGTCTTGGCCGAAACTCTGACATCCCCCTCCTCCTCAACAATGCCGGGAAGGAACACATCACCAGCAAGGAGAAGGCTGACTGCTTTGGTCACTTCTTTGCTGGCAAGTGCAGCCTGGGTGACAGGGACCTACATCGTGCCTCCCTTGGAACCCCAGCGCCTGCTCACCCACATCCTCCACTCACCCACGTCCACTTCCGCATCCAGAATGTTCACCGCCTCCTGCGCCATCTCGACGCGTCGAAAGCTACGGGGCCGGACAGCATCCCCCCCCCCCCCCCCCCCGTGTCCTGAAAGAATGCGCTTCGGTGCTCGCACCGGTCCTGACGAAGCTGTTCTCATTGTGCTTCCGGCATGGATACCACCCACAGGCCTGGAAGCTCGCCAATGTTGTTCCTGTGCATAAACGCTCATCTCGCTCACAGCTCAAGAACTACCGCCCCGTGTCTCTCCTTAGTGTGATATCCAAGGTAATGGAGACCATTATCAAGATGCAAATTACGAACTACCTCGATGGTGACTCACTGCTTGCAGCGAATCAGTTTGGCTTCAGATGGAATCTGGGTACAGCCGATGCTCCTACTTGCCTGCACCACTCCTGGGCATCCTCTATCGGACACGGGGGCGCAGCACGCGTACTTGCAGTTGACATCGCTGGAGCCTTCGACAAGGTCTCTCACGCAGGTGTCCTCTTCAAGCTACAGCAATGTGGCATCCAAGGAATCCTCCTTGCATGGCTGACATCGTACCTGTCTAACCGAAGCATACAGTATGTTGTCAGTGGTGCAACCTCCCGTCCATACCCCATCATGGCGTCATGGCGGGAGTCCCACAAGGCAGCATCTTTGGGCCAACCATGTTTCTCATATAAATTAACGATGTATCAACATGCCTTGCTGGGAACACGCAGCTGGAAGCCTATGCTGGCGATACGACATTGTACACTCTTCTCCGTAACAACCTCCCCACTGCTGCTGCCTTGCTTCAGTACACCGCCAACCGTCTGTCAGACTGGGGCAAGGAATGGCGTGTAGCGTTTGAGCCGTCGAAATCCCAGGCTATGACAGTCACGCTGCAAAGAGCGCAGCTAGCCTTGCCCTCTCTCCTCTTTGGAGGCAACCCTGTGCCAGAGTCATCCACAATAAAGCTCTTAGGGGTGACTTTTGATCCGAAGCTGTCCTTCGCAGAGCACATCCGCGCAGTGTCTATACGTGGCAAACAGCGTTTGGGCCTCCTGCGGCGAGCTGCGCCCTATCTCTCCCTAGAAGTCCGCCTCACGGTGTACAAGGGGTTTGTACGGCCCATTTTGGAGTATGCTCCGCTCGTCTGGATGGGAGCTGCTCCCTCCCATCTTGCACGCCTAGATAGCATCCAACGCCGTGCATTGCGCATCATTGGTCCCAGGACGGAGCTCCAGAGCATCAGCCTACGGCGATACGTTGCTGCATTAACATACACTTGCAAACTGCATTTCACCACCGGTCCGACTCAATTGCTAGCAGTCCTCCCACCAAGGCTTGAGCCCCGTGACACCACTCGCACTCGAAACGATCTCCGCATGGCCGCCGGCCACAGTTACCGGCTACCGCATCAAGCACCAGACACCATTCTCCGCAGCTTCCCACATTGTGCAATCCAGCTGTGGAATTCCCTGCCGCCAGCTTTTCTAGACTCCGCCCTAACTCGCAAAAATCGTCAACAGTTTAAGTGCAACGTCAACGAATACCTCCGCCGACAGGATTGGCGATGGTCCACGGACATTCTGCCTGTCGACCCACCTACATTCTAGTGCCCCGTCAACGACTCCCATTGCTATGAAAGCGCTTGCACACTGGTACTAGCTGTTGTTTGCCCTTGCTTTCTTTTTATTTTTGCTGACCCTTACAGCTCTATCTTTTGTTTTGGTGCGTGTTTCTGGCCGTGATGCGGAGACCTCAGGTCGGCAGAGCCATCAATGCCCCACCATCACTACTGCATCTCAGTGCAGCCCCTTCTCAGTAGTTGTCACGTTTGTCCTTGTCTCAGTACCATTGTCTTTCTGTATTATTAATTTTATGAGTTGGGTATGTGAACATAGTAAAAAAATAATAACATAAAAGCCACACGCAACTACGTTACTTGTTTGACATGTATTACCGTGTATTTTATAACAAAATATACCCAATGCTGTAGACAGCAAGCTGTTTCGGCCATAAAGGCCTCATCAGTACAGCTACGAGCTAAATAGGCCGAGCTTCCAGCCATGGTGCAAAGGAGGCACCACAGACATTAAGGTAGCTCGTCGCTCTAGCGCCAGAGTGCTCAAACTACAAAATGTAGCGAGCATTGCGCGATGCAGCAGCACTAGAGCAGCCTACTGAGAGTGCTCAACAAGGCGAATGCCGAGGAGCGTGATACCCAATGCTGTAGACAGCAAGCTGTTTCGGCCATAAAGGCCTCATCAGTACAGCTACGAGCTAAATAGGCCGAGCTACCAGCCATGGTGCAAAGGAGGCACCACAGACATTAACTTAAGGTAGCTCGTCGCTCTAGCGCCAGAGTGCTCAAACTACAAAATTTAGCGAGCATTGCGCGATGCAGCAGCACTAGAGCAGCCTACTGAGAGTGCTCAACAAGGCGAAAGCCGAGGAGCGTGATACCCAATGCTGTAGACAGCAAGCTGTTTCGGCCATAAAGGCCTCATCAGTACAGCTACGAGCTAAATAGGCCGAGCTACCAGCCATGGTGCAAAGGAGGCACCACAGACATTAAGGTAGCTCGTCGCTCTAGCGCCAGAGTGCTCAAACTACAAAATGTAGCGAGCATTGCGCGATGCAGCAGCACTAGAGCAGCCTACTGAGAGTGCTCAACAAGGCGAAAGCCGAGGAGCGTGATACCCAATGCTGTAGACAGCAAGCTGTTTCGGCAAAATATATAAAAAATATTTTCCCACTGATGATAGGAACAAGAAAATAGATTCTGGGTCTTCAATAATTTTTTTGTTATAAAATACACGGTAATACATGTCAAACAAGTAACGTAGTTGCGTGATGTCTGCGGCCTTCATCCTATTCATAGCTATATTAAAACACTCCAACCCCGCGAATTTTAGTTTCGATCCCTTTGAGCTCGAAATTTCGAATTTTTCAATTTGCTTCCTACTTCGCATTGTATGTAGGCGGTATGGCCTTCATGTACTCTTGGTTTGAATTATTTATTCTCACGATGGCACCATCGCCAATAAGAGATAAATTTATGAGTAGGTGAGATTGTGGGTTATGCAGTCGGAAAGTGATTTACATCACTTTGAATTTTACAAGTATGGGAGAGGGTGAGCGCTGCAGGAGCAGATTGAGTTAATCAGCAGTGAGCAGACTTCTTGTTTGAAAGCAGATCGGGAGGAGACGTCACTAATGCTAGCAGGGAGGGCATTGTAGTATTCTAGGGACTTGTACAGTGGGGAGTCTTTACAGCGGTCGGTTCTGGAGGGTGGGAGGTGCCAAGTGCGTGCGTGTCGAAGGCTGTACTGAGCCGTAACTTGAGCGGGGGTGTTGAGCATACGTATGTGTTGTGGGGCATATTGGTATTTTTGGTTGTATGCTTGGTTGTACGCTAGGCTACAGTGACTGGTGACCTATGCCAGCCCGTAGATCGATCGAGATAATATGAGCCATGTACCAAGTAAAGCAGTAAAGGTACTTAAAAAGTACAAGGTTCCTTAGGATCGGACCTGTTTTCAACTTTCATCAAAATGTAACGTCAAATTTATCAAAAGAAAACGCGACCGCGATCGAGCGTGAAGTCAAAGACGAGGTCGATCTTGATTCTTTTGCTTGTATGTTGGATCGATCCATCGATCATGGGCAATCAGAATGGCGGGTAAACGATGTACATGTCTCATTGAGTTTGCCTGTGTGGTGCTGGAGAACACATCTCTCTTAGGTAAGCACGTCGAATCGTTCGTTCTACTGCGACACCCTCGGGTACACAGGCGATGAGAGCAATTATGGCTATGATGGAGATGAAGGCCGGTGTGTGGCCTGCACATACCGGCAGTGGAGAAGTGGCAGATCATTCCGCCTGACAGCGACTTAGACGAGAGTTGCCTCTTGAAAATGTTGTCATATCGCTCTGCCAGCTGGAGCGAGGTGCTCGTAAAAGTCGCTGCTACCTCAGTGACTGCAGGATTTGCGACCCCGCGATGACTATGATGGTGCACACCTGTATATGTAACAGATTTGACATTTAGAGTGCGTACTATAATGTGCAGAATTCAAGTGACTTGTACGGCTAATATTGATGCGAAACTTTGTCAGATGGAAGTTTGCACACTAAAGGACATTTTAATATAGTAAAACAGGAAAAGGACAAAATGTTACGAGTTATCACTGACTGTCCACCAACCTAACCACATCATATACAGACAACGAGTGCGACAGAAAGGCACAAAACTGACTAGGAGTACTGAGACATTCAATGACCTAACACCTAGCTGCAACACTTCTCCGAGGCGCAAACCAACAACGTTCCAATATGGAAGGATCATGTTAAGAAAAGTCCAAGAGAGGAAGGAAAAGTTAGTAATAACTCGAAACATGTTGTCCTTCTCCTTTTTTTTTACCATAATCAAACTGGTGCACCATTCAAGTTAAAAGGACATTTCGACGACTTCACCTCTGATATAGTGCTCTCCAGACCTAACCATCACCAGGAACACAAATTCCCTACTTAGGCGGGTGAGTGCGGTCACAGCTCCCACACTCTTTCCGTATTTCTCACACACAATAGTCCATGTTGTTGTTTCTTCCTGTTTCAAATGTATCCCAAACGTTTCATGCATCACGTAACACACTTTGATGTCCTCAGCACCAACTCCGTCATATTTTCACACTCTCTTTCTTGTTGCTGGTTTAGTTGCTGGACTCTTAAGCGGGATTCACAGAAGCTTTTTGCGATGCGACACGCGATGCGACAGCCCCGAAACCGGGAAATCCCCAAATCACACCCATCGCGGACCATACGCAACTGACGCAACTGGGCCATCGCAGGCCATCGCAGAAGTTGAGCTTGGCTCAACTTTTGCGATGCGATGCGATGCGACAAGCGATTTGGCGTACGATTTTGACCTTTTCTACAACAAAGTTGTACAAAGGTGCAAGAGTTGCCTATAAATTTGTACAAGTTGTATCAAACCGCGCGAATATCATGGTGACGTAGCCAAATCAGCAAGATGTTGTCGCATCACTGACTTCTTCTGTGAATGGTATTTCGCGAGGTCGCATCGCACGCGTCCGTCGCAGATCGCGTCGCATCGCGTGTCGCATCGCAAAAAAGCTTCTGTGAATCCCGCTTTACGCATAACATGTCCCCCACAGTTTTCCTTGTTTCAGTTTATTATTTTCCTTGCCTCACCATCGGAGTTCTCTTTCTTGTTTTCCCATATTGTTGCACCTTCTCTCTACTGTAAAGTCGACAAATTTTGGGCCCATTCAAAATTTCGGCCTCACAGGGCTAAAACCCATTTCGGCCGCATCAAATGTTCGGCCTGTACTGCTCCCGCCTGTAGACAGGATCACACTAAACCTTGCAAAACAAAATTGCGCCGAATATTTGTTGACCTAGGGTACTCTAGGTAATTGTGTGTTGCTCCCTACATGGGAGCTCGCTCTTTTCCTGCCGACTTGATTTCTCACTTGACTGACTCACGACTGCCCTCCAGAGCACACGAGACGTGCATCGAACCGTCCATTCGGCAAACCTGCAAGAAAGTACCACTCCCTGCTAAATACACAGTGTTTCGGGGGATTCACCCCTCTTCAGTTGAGCTTGAGTAGGTTGAGGAAGGTTGTGCCTGAAGAGCACTACTTATATAGTGTTCTCCGGGCACAAACATCACCAGGGATACAAACTTACAGAAAATTGCTCCGTTTCCTGCGCAACAAACACCTCGTGAACACCAGATAGCAGCGTGAGTCAGTGTCACTCATGAAGGTGCTGAACAAGCGCTGAGGACTCGTTGTCCATTCACAACTCTGCTGCCTCCAAACCAGCTAATTCGCAAGCACGGGCTGGGGACAACAATGTGAAGAAGATGTTGGTTCGACTTTGGCGATACTTGGGGAAATGTGTGTCAGTCAAGTGAGAAATCAAGTCTGCAAGATAACCGCGAGCTCCCATGTAGGGAGCAACTTACAATTCCCCAAGTATCGCCAAAGTCGCACCTACCTCTTCTACACAGTAGAGTACTCGGTCATATTTCTCCCTTGTCAACAATGTGATGAAGATCACAAAGAAGCCGTATTGGAACTAACCCACCAACTTTGCCTTGATGTGTGTTTTGATTGAGTGTGCAGTGCGTCATTTTCATTGCTACAATCAAATTTGAATTGTTTAGTGAAGTTTATTTTAAAAAGGTCTATACTTTTGAAACAGACTATACTCATATTCCTCTTTGATTTGATTTGGGTGTTTATCCCACTGTGCTTGTCCTTCATTCCTGCATCTTTCTCGTTGTCTGGACTGATGTCAATAACTTGCCAATACTACCTAGGTCGCCCCAAATACTGCTCGGCGGAAGAGATCAAAGTAAACAATGGAGTTTATTATACAGCAGATACGTACATTGGAGCAGTGTACCAACTTTTATGTGACCCAGGCTTTCGTAAATCGAAAAAATCAGAAACGACATGCCAGGCACACAATGATACGCACGGTATTTGGAGTAACATACTGACCTGCAACTGTAAGTCACCCAGGCTTTTGGTTTTCTTTTAATTGGTAGATCTACTGCAGAGGGAATATTATCCGTACTTCCCATATCCAGTCCTCTCCCTCAGCCTGACAACTTACAAGGAGTATTTTTCTAGCTGTGCTACCTTTCCTTTTCGCACTTCCTGTAGCACCACGGTGTTTACAATGTGAGCCTGACGTAGGGCCTGTGATGTTTATGGCTCCCTCTACACCTATGTCCGTGGTGTCCGCTACCCGCTTCCTTACATAATAATGATTACGTTTCCTGTTGTGTTTGACCTTTGTGCCCTGAGTTGATTGACCGTCATTAGGGACCATTAGCGAACCGTTGGGCTGTGTGTTATTTGAGTTCGCAACCCGACCGGACTGAACATGTGACTGTCCAATGACAAGGAAGCGAATGAGGTCCAAGTAACACAGGCATGGGAAAACTTGGAAAGGAGACACAGATAAAAAGAGAATATCGGAAAAGAAAGCTCTCAGCAAAAGAAAAAAGCCATAAAACGTCAACGGGAACGAGTTCATCGAAACGCACGTGAAACACGGCGTGATCTAGGATTAGCGGTCTCGCGTTCACTACCAGTCTATGCGAGTTGCCTGCTTTCCAGTTTCAAACAGTTCTCTGATACTTTTACTGGCAATGGTTTTTGCGTACTCTTCCTTGAGAACAATTCTCAGCCTGACTGACTTTTACTCGAATGAAAGTGAAAGAAACCCCACATGATGACAGCCACATCGCCGATGAATGGGTGCAGCAAAAGGTTTTGTCCACGAGGTCCATGCCAAAGCATTCTCCGAAAGACTTTACAATGGACGGCTAGTCAGTTGAGAATATTTGGAAAAAAGTGTACGTTTTGGAGCAGTAGCCAGAAAATGAGCGAGCATGCTGAAGGTTGTGTTGAACAAGCCTAATTTTTGGCACTGTGGTTACCCTCGATCCTGTTCTGTGTCATGTTAGTGATGAGTATGGAAAAATCAATGGTCCTACTGGTTGTTTGGTACGTTTCGCCAACATATTTATTCCAAAAAGAATGGGTGAGACATTTTCGAAATTTGAGAAAAATTGCAAAGACAAAAAGAGGTGCGATTTACGGTGCTATTCTCCGTATCAACGTTGAAATCGCACGTACATGCCTAAAACCCGTTCGTTGCGGTCATGACGAGTAGACGCCTCCGAACTGTTTCAAATCTGTATTTAACAACCACACAAGCCGACCTGTTTGGGAGCTATTACGCGTTGTATTATTTATTTATTTATTTATTTATTTATTTATTTATTTATTTCTGCACCTCGTGGCATGTCAAGACAGCCAATCAGGGCATAGGCAACAATTGCCGCATGCAGTATGCAATACTATGGACCAATGCCGTAGTATCGCAAGCACCAATGTGCGTTAGACTGGCCAATGCCAGGGCTAATGGGGGCAACAATTGCCCGGCGTGTCAATACATGCATACGGTAGGGATGCACTTGTGAGCACATGTAGGCGCACTTGGCTCAATGCCGGCCTGACCCACGATCCCTACCGTTCTCCCAAAATACAACATGACCCAAACAGGAATTATCGGCATTACTATAGTTATAGTAGCGTTACTATAGTTATAGTATAATAGGTATATCATATGTACACTACAGCTGTTGCTAGGGCCGTCCAATGCGGCTACCCATTAGCATAACAGGCAGAGACTAGAACAATGCCGCTGGCAATGCTCTGTCTGCGACAGGGGTGCGGACATAGCGGAGGTCCCTGGGTGTAGCTTGCCCTGGCGCGGGGGCGACAAGCGTCCGGAGCGCTGCAGCGAAGCGTATGCCGTGCTGGAGCTGTCCGCCAGGCCCTGGCGGATGAAGTACATGGTTGCGTCGTCAACTGCTGAAGGGTGGACTGCGCTGGTTGTGTCGGCACTGCGTCGGCAGTTGGGCTGCGAGTCCAGAAGCGTCGACAACCTGACCCAAACAGGATTTATCTACATTGCTATTACACTACAATTGATGTGAGTGCCGTCCAATGCGGCTGCCCATTAGCATAGTGGGCAATGCGCTCGACGTACCGGATATGGAACAATGCTGCTGGCACTGATCAGTCACTGGGTATGGCTTGCCCTAGTGCGGGGTGACAAGCGTTCAGAGCACTGCAGCGAAGCGTATGTTGTGCTGGAGCTGCCCGCCAGGCCCTGGCGGATGAGGTCCATGGTTACGTCATCAACTGCTGAAGGGTGGACTGCGCTGGTTGTGCCGGCACCGCTTTGGCAGTTGGGCTGCAAGTCCAGACGCGCTGACAACCGGACCCAGACAGGATTTATCTGCATTACTATTACACTGCAATTTATGTGAGTGCCGTCCAATGCGGCTGCCCATTAGCATAGTGGGCGATGTGCTCGAAGTACAGGATCTGGAACAATGCTGCCGGCACTGATCAGTCCCTGAGGTTGGCTTGCCCTGGCGCAGGGCGACAAGCGTTCGGAGCGCTGCGGCGAAGCGCATGCCATGCTGGAGCTGTCCGCCAGGCCCTGGCGGATGAGGTCCATGGTTGCGTCGTCAACTGCTGGAGGGTGGACTGCGCTGGTTGTGTCGGCACCACTTCGGCAGTTGGGATTGAGTCCGGCAGCGCTGACAACCTGACCCAAACAGGATTTATCTGCATTACTATTACACTGCATTTGATGTGAGTGCCGTCCAATGCGGCTAGCCATTAGCACAGTGGGCAATGCACTCAAAGTACAGGATCTGGAACAATGCTGCCGGCACTGATCAGTCCCTGAGTGTGGCTTGCCCTGGCGCAGGGCGACAAGTGTTCGGAGCGCGGCAGCGAAGCGCATGTTATGCTGGAACTGGCCGCCAGGCCCTGGCGGATGAGGTCCATGGTTGCGTCGTCAACTGCTGGAGGGTGGACTGTGCAGGGTGTGTCAGCACTGCGTCGGTAGATGGGCTGAGAGTCCGGAAGCGCTGTACTCGAAGACGAGTAAGAGACTTAGCAGGATCATTGCAGAGTCGCCGTTGGGCTGGGAGTCCACATCAGCCGGTCTGTTGAACGGAAGGGGGAGGATCTAAGGCCAAATGGTGGTGCCTTATCTACATGGTACGAACCTTCCCAAAAATGCCAAGCCGGGCCAGACATGAGGGGAAACAGGCCAAAGCCGCCAGACATACTTCGTGTCAGCTTAAGAGAGGAGAGCTCAGCATTAGGGACCTAAATTTCCGAGCCATCTTCAAGATTATGGGCTGGTGCGAAAACAGCTCCGGGGGCCCTGGAGGGGTGTGCTGCTGCGTCAGTCGCACAATACGTGCTCCAAGCGTCGCGAACCTCCTCCCGACTAAAGTCTCCCAGGCCAGGGATGGGGCTGCAGTTGCCTCGGCTAGGTTCTGCTCCGCTGCCGGAGCGGCCAAGTCCTCGCGTACAGTAGTCTGGAGCCAACTTCAACTCGAGCAGGTGAGTCCGCGGCGTAGGTTTTGTTCCTGTCGGGTCTAAATAATTGCGGGATGCCAGTGCGTTTCGCAGCTCAGCAGAGCGCATTTTGGCTGGACATCGCTCACTGACAGAGACATGGTTGATCGGATATTGATCAGAAAGTGGCCGCGATTGTCAAACAATTTGACCGTCAAGGCAGCAAAGAAAGAGCGTTATGGCTGGACATCGCTCACTGACAGAGACATCGTTGATCGGATATTGATCAGAAACTGGCCGCGATTGTCAAACAATTTGACCGTCACTGCGTCAGCGCAGCAAAGCAAACGGAGCGTTTTGGCTGGACATCGCTCACTGACAGAGACCTGGTTGATCGGATATTGATCAGAAACTGGCCGCGATAGTCAAACAATTTGACCGTCAGCACAGCAAAGCGAAGAACAAGAGCTCAAAAACTGGCCAAGGTTGTCAAGCGATCTGACTGTTGGCGCAGCAAGGATGAAGAAGAAACAGCATCGAGAGCCGGAGTAATGCGCATGCTCCGCGTGGTCCCGTGCCGGGGCGCGGGAGTTCGGAGTGCTTGTTCTGCACGGGCACGTGATGCGCTATGGCAAGTACGTGCAAATTATGTTAGGAATGTAATTGTTGGTGGGTTGCTAACTTCACTTACCGTGCCATGCACGGAAACTTATATTTTCACGATAGCCAGTGGCCAATAAGAGATAATAGTGTAAGAAAGAGAAAGAGTGAGGAAGAATTGGGTGGGCAGAGCCTAGGGGTTAATGACTACTTAAGTGTACGGGCAAAGGTGGTCGCTACACGAGCATACAGAGTTGTGCAACAGCAGGGATATCTGGGATTTGGAGAGAGTACGAGAATGGATTTCGCGAAGCTGGGTGGGCAAGCAATTAAAGTAATGAAGGGCCTTAAACAGGGGAGAATGGAGACAGTGATCAGTCCGCGGAGTTTGCAAGTGCCAAGTACGAGAGTGACGTAAATTATAAGAACGTTACACGCTGCTAGCAGTATGCAACGAGAGTATATGTGGCAGGGCATAATTATTGTGCAGAGAATGCCCGAAGAGTATATGTTTAACTTTAAAGCGTGAAAATAATGTTGGCCATTTGATGCGATGCAAAAGGTGGGAGTGTTCTAAGTGTGTATAAAGGGGAAGGTGGAGACATATTCTGGCGGCTTTCCGCTGGAGTCGTTCCAGCCTGTCAAGGGAAGTGTGTGACAACGGTGTGAGAGCATTGCTCGCATATGAGAATATAGGTAGTATGTATGTCAATGCCGCTAGCGGCTACAGTTCTGCTGTCGTTTCGCGTGGATATTTTCTCAGTACAGTCGTATGATATTATTACAGCGTGCGACAGAGCTCTCGGCCATTGAAGAAAATGTTGAGTCACCTCCATCGACGCGTATGCAGGATAACCAATCCAGTACGAGCGTAGGCACGCTTTTCCTTTGGCAAGATTGCCCGAAAAAAGGTGGTTTCCAGACACCAAAAAACTCATACCGTGCACGCGCCTGGTCCACCATTACACTGCGCTCTTTAGCCGACTAGATCCTCCTGCACACAACCATCACCATTGCGAGGACACTTCCGTAGACGATATTGATAAACTCCTTCAGGCAGCTGTTTCGCTAATACATAGCTCACCAGTGAAGGTAGATGTTGAATGATTGAAAATATAGACTAAACTGCTATTATATAGGCGGTTTCCACATACAAAACTGGCATAGCTGAGGTGATAACGTGGGAAAAGGAAAATGTGAAGTACTGTGGACGCGCATTGGACATGCATGCAGAGTCGGAAATTCGGCGCGGAAAATCAATCGCTATTCGATGCAGAAATAACGTGCCAGAATCAGAGTACTATGTAGTTAGTGAATGTCTGTGTACTAGTATTGCAGTTGTCCGAGCGCCATGAAGGCCTGTGAACGCACCTCACGACCCGTCGACGTCCACAGCCACAGCAGCCCCTGGGGCATGACACTGTACTGCTCGCCCGTCGCGCCAAGGCGCTTGGCAGTCACTAGGCTTCATGCCACTGATGTTGTCCGCAAGCTACCTTGTTATCTGCCCATCACCCACTGCCGCTGACACGCTGGGAGGCCCCGTGGCATTCGCCCAGTATATCGTCGTCAGAGCTGTGTCAACGGTACAATAACGCTGGTAGAAACAAGGTAGCTTGCGGACAACATCGGTGGCATGAAGCCTAGTGACTGCCAAGCGCCTTGGCGCGACGGGCGAGCAGTACAGTGTCATGCCCCAGGTGCTGCTGTGGCTGTCGACGTCGGCGGGTCGTGAGGTGCGGTCTTAGGCCTTCATGGCGCTCGCACAACTGCAATACTAGTACTCAGACTCTCACTAGCTACATAGTACTCTGATTCTGGCACGTTATTTCTGCATTGAATAAGGATTGATTTTCCGCGCCGAAATTCCGACGCTGCATGCATGTCCAATGCGCGTCAACAGTACTTCACATTTTCCTTTTCCCGCGCTATCACATCAGCTATGCCAGTTTTGTATGTGGAAACCCCCTTTATAATAGCAGTTTGGTCTATATTTTCAATCATTCAACATCTACCTTCACTGATGAGCTATGTATTAGCGAAACAGCTGTCTGAAATAGGTTATCAATATCGTCTACGGAAGTGCCCTCGCAATGGTGATGGTTGTGTGCAGGAGGGTCTAGTCGGCTAAAGAGCGCAGTGTAATGGTGGAGGTGACTCAACAGTCGTATGATAGAATTTTTTTAATTTTGAAGTACAGCGGCACCAGAAAAGTGTCCATAGTCTAGGAGTCAAACGGGTGTGCCTTTAACTAACGAACGGGTAATTTTCTTAACGGGCGGGTTAACGGGTACCCTTTAGCAGCCATATTATTTTTGGTGCATTGTACACATAAATCATGATTTAAATTTGTATATTCTCAGGTTGTACTTGTATTTTGATACCACGTTATGAATCGCAATTGATTCGTGTCTCATGATAATATTACAGCAATGAAGGTTCCAAATGATTGTCAACCGTACATTTGCCCATGTACATAACTTCACAGGCAGTTACAATCATACATGGTCCAAGTGCTACATGTATTTTGATGCATGTACGCAAATCAACAGCAGATCCATGTGATTCAAGCCATGCCAGGACAGATTAGTTTAGCAAAACTCCCGTGATCTCACGCAATCCTATTTGCTATGTTCGCAGAGAACTGGTACTCTTCGCATTCAGAAGATGTTTGCACCCATAGCTAGCTTGGGTACCTGACACAGCTGATGTGCTGCTGGCCAGCTAGCTGCTAGTGCTAGCTCGTTGAACTCGTGAAACGAATCTTCACAAATCCGTAATCTTGTATGCAATATTTCGAACTACTTTTCAACTAAACCGAGTTCATCGATTGAAGGAACAAACTACAACCATGAGTATCATAGCTACCACCTACGGACATCGCCGTGTGTGACACTCCGACTGGCCACTCAGCCTGGTGACACGAGTTCATCTTCAAGTACTGTAGCAAGTTCGATGTCGGAGAACCATCGTAACTTTCTAGTAACTCAGCTGCCACCTCGAACGACTCGGTTTCAAGTCTTGCATTTTCTCACATCACAATCAAAAACCTCCAGTACGAGGATTTTTACTTGCAGTAGAGTGGAGAGAACGACTGTCTTTCAGCCTGCTCCTGCCTGACAAAGTCGAAAGTGGGAATGCACAGGAAAAGGAAAAGAGTATCCGCACTCCTATTTTGAGTCTTGTCATACGATAGGATCATCGAAATCCAATTTTTTTTACAAACGAGTACCTTTTTACTAACAGTACCTGAGATTAACGGGCGGGTGCCCGGGTACCCGGTACACCCGTTGACCCCTAGTCCATACCCTAGCTGAGTTCAGACTTTTCCCATTCCAACTCTGTCAAACTTATGAAAACTCCCCCACCCCGTATTGTGTGTTACAAGTAATCATAGTATCTTTAGAAGTTTACATCTGAGGATTCCAATGAGATCGCGAGAGACTTTGAAATACCGAGCGCCATTCTGCTCTGTTCCTGTGGCAACGACGTCAATCCATATCATGTCACGCTAAAGGCTAGTTATGTATGCAAAACACGTATTGTGCACCCCAATCTATGCGATCAAGTACGTCAAAAGGCCTACGTTGTAGCGTGGTGCGAAAGGTCCCTATTATCTTCTATCACTTCCCTGCTATTTCTCACATCATTTTGGCTCTAGAGGTTGGTGCAACTTCGGCGATAACTGGGAAAATTATAGTTCTAGCCGTTTCTCATAACCGCTTACTCTCGGATCGACAATTGTATTATTCTGAAGCCAACTTTCACAGTGTCCACCATTTTCCATTCTGATGGATAGGGACACAGCCATCCAGACACTGTGAAAATATTCTAATTATGTGAAAGCATGTAGGGTAGGCTGCAAACCGCTCCGTTCATTAGAAACTTGCCTACTGTCTACATTCCAGTGGTGCGAAAACCATTAGTGAATGGATCGGAAAACAGCTGAGAAAGCGCTTACCCATTGAGCTGTTTATCCCCCTGTGTTTTTTTTTGTGCGTGTCCTTCGCTCATATGTCTCAATGTGTCTTGATGGATTCATTTGCCAATACTATGTAGTTATCCATGGCTATTGTTCAAGTGCGATCAATTTAACAAATGGAGTTGTCCATGTCTCCAATACACACGTTGGAGCTGAGGCAAATGGTACATGTAATCAAGGTTACCTCCCATCGAATAACTCAACAATGACATGCCAGGAACAGAATGCAACCCATGGTGTGTGGGATAATCTTCTAAGCTGCAACCGTAAGTCAGGCATTTCCGTGTTGAAGTGTAACAGTAGTATGCTGCATCCACAGCTTTGCTTATGCTGAATGCCTCAGGTCAGAAGAGAGAGGAGAGAAAACAGGGAGTTAACACCTAATACTCGGGTAAACTGTACTTGCTGTAGCGTCACAGTAACATGAAAAGACCAGAACTTCATGGGCATGGCACATTTTTTATTGTTACAGTCTAGGCAGTTTTATCTGGACCTCAAGTGTCAAGTCCCCTCACTCCACCAGGCAACTTGCAGGGGACCATTGACCCTGTGACTGATGGTGTCCTCCGACACTTTTTTCGACATCCGATCAGAAAATTCCAGTCATTTGGAGAACATGAGGCGTTGGCTGCACACAGCACTGTCCATGGGGTTTTGGGGTTTTAGGGTTTTAGGGTTTTAGGGATTTTGAGTAGTTGAAGGTGCCCACAGTGAACTGTCTGTGTGATATAAAAGAAATTATTTTTGAAAAAATGAGAAGAATTACATGAGAACAAGGTGTGCAGCAACTGTATACGACTGTAACAAGATGATAAACGGACAGGAAGTGCGATAATAGAGCACAAAACTGAAAGGCTACTGAGAAATTCAGCTGTTGATTTGGGCACTGGAGATGTGTTAGAGCTAGGTCTTGGGTCACTGAATGTCTCAGTAGCTTGTCAGTTTTGTGCCCTATTATCGCACTTTCTGATTGCTCATCATCTTGTTACAGTCGTGGATAGTTGCTGCATAACTCGTTCTCATTTGTTTCTTCTCTTTTTTTTACATTTATTACTGGCTCAGTATGCGAGTTTAAATTATTATTGAATTGAGCAAACTTGGGTAGTGTTCTCTAATTGAAGTGTTTATCTCCCTGTTTTCCTATTTCTTTACTTTCTTTCATGCGTCTTTCTTGCCATCGTGTTGGATTCATTTGCCCATACTTGGTTTACTACTAGGTATCTCTACATATTGCTCCACTGTGACCAGCATAATCAAAGGAGTTGTGCATGCGAACTATACACACATCGGAGCGGAGGCGAATGTTACATGTAATCACAGCTACCGTCTATCGAATAATTCCAAAGTGACATGCCAGGCATACAATGATACACATGGTGTGTGGAAGAATCTAAGCTGCAACTGTAAGTGACACGATATACCGTACGCACTGGATAGTTCTCTGTACATACTCAACTCTGCAACGAAAATACTATCGCCATGAAAAAGAGCGCTTATAGGAAAGGCCTTGAAATAGTTTTTCAGCGGTGTTTGAAATACAGTAAAAAAATGGTTGACAGCTGACAAAATAAATGCAGACTTCTCCCTCTGAATTCGAAGTTTCCGTCGAGCCATATGTCGACCCATTCAAAGGCAATTCCACAGGAGGTGTCAAAGCCAGCATTGCCATTGACTGAATCTCCCAAGCGCAGCCTGGTACGCCACTGCGATGAGGGCACAGACAAGAGCGAAGTGATCTTGGGTGGAACTTGTACAGACGTGTGACTTCGACCAGCCACTCCTTTGATAGGCTGTGGAACGCTTTCCTAACATCTAACCAAGCCATTGCTAAAGTGCGGCGATGGCGCCTAGCATCCTGGGTAATCATAGTATGTATCATCAGCTGGTCAGTGCAGCCTCCTCAGTTACGAGTGCAGCCAGTTTGGCTGGCCCAGTGAAAACCACTCAGGTGCACCCAGCTCACCATCAAGAAGCAGCTGTAATTTTCGAAGTAGGGCTGGCTGGAGGGCGGTATTTTTCTAATTCCAGAATGGTGGGATCTGGTCACGACCAGGAGCACGCCAGTGTGGCATCTTGGAGATCGCAGCAGACACTAGAAGGAATTGAAGTAGTGCAAGCACAAACTGACCTACTATTAATGCGATTAATAGTATATGTGAGGCGGACATTACAAAATGAGGAATGAGAATACATGTATATAAAATGGTTGTTCCTAATCGATTTTCTTGAGACTATCATCAGGGAAAAATCGTCTCACAATAGAGGCTATACGGAAAAACAAACTACTTATAGGTTATAGGATAGTGGGGAGTATACAAGGTGAGGTGTGAAGAAAAAAAAACTAAAGTGGGAGAGAAGACGAAAGAAATTAGAAGAAAAGATGTGAGAGTGTTCCGACGGTGTGAGCTACTACAAAGGGTGAGTGAAATGAAGGCGTGGAAGCAGGTGAATGTGATAGAGTGAGGAACTGGAAGTGTGAGGTGTAATGTCCGCTTCACTTATACTATTAATCGCATTAATAAAGTTATTGTCTCCTCGTCGCCTTTTCATTGACCTACTATTGCCGTTTGTTAGCCAACAGCAAATTTCATTCTACTTTTGGTATAGTATGAGGAGATAGTGAAAAGAACTGATATACATTGTACCATGTCAATCGGCAATTATTCATAGTCTTGGCAATCCACAAAGATGCAGGCTAGTTTTAGATGCGGCTTTTTACTACTAGCCCCGACCAGCCTCTGAACCATTTTAAGGCGGCCCTGCTCTAAAAGGGCGGAACATGATCCGCGGAACAGGTAAGGTACCCTGAAACCATGAAAACACGTGACAAACCATTTCAGCAGCAAGAAAGATATTGAGGCTCTCAAATATGAGGAGATAGTTCTGACCGATCCGTTACCGTTAACAATGGATTCCGATGGCAAATGTGCGTTCCCAGCTCTGTCGCATGGCACAGACTGGTAGCTAGAAATCCAAACTGGTGCGCACTCAGGTACACGGAACACTATTTGACTGCTTCTTATTTTCATTGGCAGAGTGGTGATATTCTTATCTGGACCTCATATGTCCAGTCCCCTCCAGCAACCAGACAACTTGCAGGAAAGTATTGAACATTTGCATATTAAAAATCCAGGACACTGCCATAGAGATCCGGTGAAAATTACGATCATTCCAGATGATCCGGGGTGGGCTGGAGACAGCCCCGTCCATGGGTTTTGAGCAGTGTTTCAGTCATGTTTGTTTGTTTGCCTTCATTCATGCATCTTCCTCAATGTGTATTGGTGGATGTCAATTACTTGCCATGCTACTGGATAGTTTATTCGCATTGCCCAAACTATATCAATGTGCCAAATGGAATTGTTCTTGTGTTCAATAATGACACTGGAGGAGAGGCAAATGTTACATGTAAAACAGGATATCGCCCATCAAATAATTCACCAATGAAATGCCAGGAACACAATGCTACACACAATGTGTGGACCAATCTACAAAGCTGCCTTCGTAAGTTATCCGACATGCACATGCAGATACTAGACCGCTCTGAAGTACACAAACATACAGGGCACAGATTTTGGATGTATGCGGGTGCTGGCTGCCAGTGAGGCAAAGTGGCTCAACATGGAGCACTGAGTGATTGAACGCATCAACTCATTGCTGTTAAGAGTGTGCTAGCACACAGTATTTATTCCTGAAAAGTGGGCCAGTAGTGGAGGTTCTGGTTACACATAATGGTAAGGGTGGGGTTGGCGGGGAAAGAATTCAGAAACCAACCAATTCTGCTGAGCAAAAAGCGGCGGAAAAACAACAACTAAACAGTTTGAGCTATTTTTTGAGCTATCCTTTGAGCTATCCTTTGAGCTATCCAAAATAGCCGCCTTATACAGTGTATGCTCGATAGTTGAGTTGTAAGTACGACCCAGAGCTGGGACAGGCACACAGTTGTAAGTACGACCCAGAGCTGGGACAGGCACACAGTTGTAAGTACGACCCAGAGCTGGGACAGCTACAGGCACACAGTTGTAAGTACGACCCAGAGCTGGGACAGGCACACAGTTGTAAGTACGACCCAGAGCTGGGACAGGCACACAGACCTGTGTACGTTATACCGGCAAAAAAGTGCATGCTGCACTGAGCTGTATGAGCCAGGACAGGTGCACTGCCCTGTGTACCTTATACTATGCAGACAGGCGCATCAGGTGAAACTGTGAAACAGGGTGAGACTGTTACAGTTGCCTCCCCAGACCTAGCAATTTTCAGACTGGTATTGACCCTTTGGATATGGACAGTCCACGACACTGTCCTCGATATCCAGTTATAATATTCCCACCATTGGACAGCATGTGGCATTGTCTGCACACAGCTCTATTCCAGGGTGTTGAGCACTGCGTGGGGCTGTGAGCAGCTAACATTGAGCCAGAAAGGCGAGCTTGTGTGGTCTATGATTGAACTGCTTTTCTCCCTTTGTTGCTGCTTTTACTTTCATCTATGTTTTTTCTTTCTCTGTGTGTTTTGGTGAATGTCAATCACGTGCTATGTTGCTGGATAGTGTATTCGCGTTGCCCAAATAATGTCCATGTACCGAATGGGATTGTTAATGTGTTCAATAATGACACTGGAGGAGAGGCAAATGTAACCTGTAATACAGGATATCGCCCATCAAATAATGCTACACTGAAATGCCAGAAACACAATGCTACACACAATGCATGGATTATTCCACTAACCTGCAAATGTGAGTGACCCAACCTTTGGTTTTTAATGCTATTGGAGAAGTACTTTATGGACCTCACATATCTAGTGTAGAGCTCTTTAATGGCAAGTAATCTAAGACATTTGAGAGTTGCACTGTTCATACTCCTCCTTGGAGTAAATATTGGCATGAGCCAAGCACAAAGAGCAACCTTCTCCCAAAAACCTGAAAACGGTCGTTGTTTGATCCGTGTAGCTAGTCAAAATACTGAATTGCTGTTTGGAGCAGAAACGTTGAAAATGACTATGAGCCGAAAGTACTCATGTACTCAGGCATCAAGCGCCGCTCTCATTTTATCTGCTCTGGCGGGCCGAGTGAATGCAGTTCCACGCGTCTTCATGTACACTGCCTTCGCTCGTGGAGGAGGCGAAAAGGAATACAGGAAAGTCTTCTTTCCAGTTTGGGAGTGGGCAGCCTACCTGTTATGAACCCTCTAAGATTCTCTAAATTGTCAGGATCGTACGACCACACGGCACGAGGACAACTCTTTTCCTTTACACAGTATATTTCACTTCATCGAATAATTAACAATGAACACTAATAACACCAGTTATTTATAGCATGCAAAAACAGCGTACATGCAAAAACATACGCATATAAAACTGGACATAACAGCGTATACAGCAAAACACACACAGCGCATATAGCGTATGCCATGCAGCAACATCAGCGGTACGGCGGAGTCGAAAGACAACATTGCGACGAATACAATGCCATAAGCGGGAAGGCCTTTCCCAATTGAGAACTGGTGGTTTGCAACACTACCTAGGTGCGGTGAAAAAGTAGTAGAGAGCAACCAAGGTACGTGGTTGGCTGATCTCTGTGCGCTCATTGTACACTTTGAATAATTATAATAATAAAATTCATGTTCCAGCAGCACTGTGCGTTTCGTTATCACCTTTAGAACTTTCGGCACCTTCGACTTCTTTGGGTATGCCACATTTTTTCTATGTACTTCGAAGTAGAAAGTGCGGAATTGCGCCACTTTACCCTATAAATATACTCATTTCTTTATATGCTATTCATTCGTTATCTACCTCCACTGAAATGCTCTTAATGAGCGAAAAAGATGTCTGGAAAATAGGGAACATCTACCCAAAAACTAACTTCCTCGCTACAGAAAATAGAACCAAGGAACTACAAGTTATGTTATAATGTCCACTAACATCACCAGTTACTAAACAATCAGCCCATTATTGAACATTATAGCGTAACTTGAAGTTCCTTGGTCCATTTTCATTCCTGTAAATTTATCCTTGGCTCTTCACCTGAGTCCATTATAATTATTGGTTTGGTCTCCCAATCACTATTCAATGTAAATTCACTGACAGACCATGGAGGAAAAATGTTTAAGGAAAAATAGCTTTGTTTCGGGTCGTCCGACAGGGTCATTTTTCGCAACTACTGAAACTTATATTTGGTCCGCCTATGCATATGGTAGATGCCAGGGAGTCGTTAATTACCAGCATTTTACGATTCTCTACTAGGTGCATGCATGCGCCTACAGGTAAGTTAACAGCTGTGACTTGATATACATTGTCCAAACCATGATATGATGCGTGTACAATCATTAATTAAAGGGGAAGTCCGGTGAAAAATTTAAATTTCAGGGTCGGTAGAGTTTCGGGCGCTGAGTCGAATGGTGTTGGTCCCACGTGTCTCCGACAAAGCATTCTCGAGATATTTCCGTTTGAAAAACTGAGTTTCGGGGCTGCGCCATGACGTCCTGCGGCCGCGCCACACCCTCTGCAACGTCATAGCGTGCAGCTAGGTCAAAAGGAGTGCGTGAAAGCAATAGTGTCAGTGCTATTTCAAATGATTTGGCGACTGATATTAGGTGGTGCAAGCGACCCCAAAGACCTGTAACTCCTTGTGAGAGTGAGGATGCAGCCATGGCTGACCTTCATGAGTTCGGTCTGGGGCTGAGAACCTCGGTATTCAGCTGAAGAAATGGCCGCGCGGGCCCGTCAAGAGTCAGCGCTACTGAGTTTCTGACTGATGAAGAAAAGCAGCAGACGAGGCTGATGTAATTTAACTAATTACCAGATCGCTGGAGAGCAGGGTCGCCAAAATGGAGAAGAGTGATGCGAGTGCTCTAAATGTTGTTCCATACCGATTAGATTCGCTTAGACTCCAGTAGCCTGCCACATGGTGATGTTTTGGTGCGAACTTGGAATATTTCGGACTACTCAATTGGAGAACAGTGCAGGCTCTTTGAACCACGGGCACGACTCTTCGCTCGCAACGCTATGGAATCTGAAAGTTCTAGGTCCGGGAGCTGTTCCCTGTTTTGTCACTTGTCACGGTTGTGCACTCATCGCTGTAGCATAAAATAATGAGGCGGGAGCGGAAAACTAAAATTTTCTTTCTCAAAGCACAATCACCGGCACCGGCAAGGAGAAACGCACGTTCCCCGACTACATGATCATGACTGTACAATACGACTGATACGAGTGTACAAAGTAGTATATGACAAGTCCGTGTGTTGACTAGTTTTTTGAGTCTTGTGTCAGTTGTGACTCCAGTCTTGTTGTAGATACTACCCCAGCACGGCAGTGCGGGAGTAGTTCCGTCTGTGATGAGTTTGTTGACTGCACCACAGCTAGATAACACACTGCACGCACTGCATGCACGCAGCGCACAGCGCGTAGAGGCTGACAGAAAAAGTCCAACTCGGAAACGGCTAAAATACGGTATAACCTCGAGGTTTACCGAGCTGAAAATCACAGGGTACGTAGTGTTTGTAACACTGAATCGAATGGTCTTGGTCCGAAGAAGCTGCGACAAACAGTTCCCCAATCGAACGCGCTCCGAATATGGCCATTTTTGTACACAACTAGATGGTGTGGCTACCTGGCTGCACGCTGTAACGTCATCACCTGGATCTGGGTGATGCGCGCTCAAATTCGCACATGTTCGATTGGGCGTATCTGACGAACCATAAGCCGCAGCCTCCTCGGACAAAGACCATTCGACTCAGCGACCCAAACTCTACCGACTGTGAAATTTAAATTTTTCACCGGACTTCCCCTTTAATTTTCACCATGTGTTTGCGGATGTCAATGACTTGCCAATACTCTCTAGCTCAACCTATCTCTTGCCCGAAAATAATACCAATAAGCAATGGAAGCTACCTGATTTTCGGAGAAACATACGCTGGATCTGTGGCAACCATTGCATGCAACCAAGGTTATCGTTCACCTAATAATTCCACAACCACATGCCAGCCACGCAATGAGACACACGGTGTGTGGAATAATGTACTTAACTGCAATTGTAAGTGAACCAGGTTCTTTAAAATTTGTATAGCTACTGTAGAGATATTTTTCTTCACACCTCCCATTTCCAGCCCCCTCCCTCAACCTGACAACTTGCAATCAAGTCTTGAGTTTAGCCATTGTATAGTGACGGTCCAGAACATCTCTCTCAAGAATTCTTGAAATTTCCAATCCTAAGACGCGATTTACAAGACGGCAGAAATCATGCCGGGGGCCCACTGGGGGCACTGGGGGCCCACCATGCTGGGGGCCCACTTTCACGATAATCATGGCGTCTACGAGTACATTTACGCCAAAAAGCGCGAAACAAGACTTGATTTTTTACGCGGCTCTTTTCACCATGATATTTGTTGTATGCATGTCTTGAAACTTTGAAATACTCATGGCAACTGGTAGGTGAATCATTCAAAAATGAAAACGTGCCTGTTGTTTGACGGTGCAGCCATGTGAATCCACACAGTCACTTTTCTGGTGAATCACTCCCTGTAAAACGCGCAAGTGCCTGTCGTGTGAATAGGCCATTGCTGATAACCCAGCTAGGTGCATGTCTCTGGTGTGAATGCAGTAAGCCCATGCTTATCATCGTCAGCGATAAAATCTTCCATCTAGCATTGACTATAGACACTCATTGTCTATGTGTTCCAACTGCTCTCATTGACGTGCAGTGCCATCTTTGCAGTAGTGCTGTAAACACCTCTTTTGTTGTATCAATCGCCTTTCAGAACCTCATTTGACCCCGAGCTCTTTTGCTACATAGTTATCTGTTGACTATCATTCGCTCCTTTCCAACTGGACGGTTTCGCCCATTTGGTTTGCGAATTTTAATATAGAAAGACGGGAACAAGCCGGCAACTTGCAGGCAAGTATTGACCCTAGGGACCCTTTATATTCTCTCTCTCTCTCCCTCTTTCTCTCTCTCTCTCTCTCTCTCCGAGTCTCTGTACCACACCTGTAACACCAGGCAACTCGCCATCTCATTATTTTCTGTTTCCTTACTCCACACCGTAATACTGGCTCATTTCCTTTTTTTCTGCTCTACTTACTTTTTTTGTATTTGGTGCTTGATCCTGCCGTTAATCCCAAGACCCATGGCAGGGGGGGGGGGGGTAGGCCCAATTCATCAGCACAATGCTCCGGCTTCCCGCTGTATTTTCATGTCTCCTCTTTGCTTTTGTCTTCCCATCCCGTTCTCTGCTGGACTGTGTGTTTCAGTACGAAAACATGTTTAAAAAATACATGTATGTTGACGGTCCACTGCACTTTCAGCAAGATCCTGTGAAAACTACATTCATTCGCAATCACAGGAGACTGCAGACTGCTGGCAAGAGTGCTCAATGCACAACCTGAAGAGATTCAGTACGAACGAAAATCCAGTTCCAATGTTCAACACAAAAATCGCGAATCAGCCACGCCCCTCCTATTAGTTTACGCAGTGCATGGGCATTGCATGTCGGCCAGAGGCCAAATTTCAATCCCTGTGCTGAATGAGACCATATTATCCTGCAACTCAGTCTCCTTAGGTTTTCTTTTTAAGTGCATCTTAAAAACTACTTGGAAAGAAAAGGTGTCAGCACCGACGCAATCCACACAGTCAAGTAAGCCAATTTGGTAACCCAACATTTTCGTTCCCTTCTCATCATGGGTAAATACAGGGAATAATGGAAAAATGTCACAATACAGCAATTTATAGAGCTAGAGCAAAAGCAAAGATCGAGAACCTCACGCTATACGTGTGGAAAAAATATATAAAATTCACCAGAACAGGTCAAAAACAAGGTGAAGGTGAAGAAATGACTAAAACATAATGAAAACATCAGTGAGGAGAAGCATTCCTGACACTTTCATGAGGATTAGTGCCAAACTACTGAAGTGACAAAAAAATTCCCTTCCGAACACATAGTTCAGTGGACACCTTATGGATATAGGACGCTTCCAAAACAGACAAATGTAATACAGATCTACCAAGGGCCAAAACGGAGAAAACATCATCTGCCGTTAGTTGTTCTATAAATTGCTGTATTGTGACATTTTTCCATCATTCCCTGTACTTACCCATGATGAGAAGGGAACGAAAACGTCCGGTTACCAAATTGGCGTACTTGACTGTGTGATTTGCGTTGGTGCTGACCCCTTTTCTTTCGAAATTGGACACGCCTCCAATTTTTTCCTTGAAACTACTAGTTGAGATAATATTTAAGTTTATTTTGCTTTATTTTTCCCTGTTCCAATGGGAATCATAGTGGTTGTTTGAACAATCTGTCCGTGGTGTATTTTGTAGTAGCGCATTAACAGAGAATTGTGCCTGCAGTGTACTTTCTGTGTGGTGGGAAAGAATTTAGTGAATATTGCTAAACTTCGATAGTGTTCTCTGTTGAGCTGCTTGTCTCCCTGTTTTGCTTTCATTCATGCATCTTTCTCAATCTGTCTTGGTGGATGTCAATCACGTGCAATGTTGCTGGATAGTGTATTCGCGTTGCCCAAATAATGTCAATGTACCGAATGGGATTGTTAATGTGTTCAATAATGACACTGGAGGAGAGGCAGATGTAACCTGTAATACAGGATATCGCCCATCAAATAATGCTACACTGAAATGCCAGAAACACAATGCTACACACAATGCATGGACCAATCTACTCAGCTGCGACCGTAAGTAAAGTAATTTACTTTTTGTAAGAGAGAAAGTAGGTTCATTCCATCCTGTACCTCACATATCCAGTCCCTGACTTAACCGGGCAACGTCCATACAGGTATCAGCAATTTGTTTTTGAGATCACCGGGAATTATGCTTTCTCACCAGGGGAAAAACCTCCGCTGCCTACTAAAAACGAATAAAATAATTATCTTTGTATCTTGAGCAAGTAAACAACACTGTCTTCAAAATTTCTCAGAAATATTTTAAAATTGGCTACACCGAGCAGACCATTGGGCTGCTGCTGAACCTTGCCCAAATGCCAAAACAGTATGATCACAACGTATATTGACGTGCTATCATCATCATCAAAACAGGAAAAACGAGGATATTTCCCCTAAACCGTAACAAAAATTCGGCTTCATGCCATTAGAGTTCATAGTACTGAAATATAGAGAATTGTGTGTTGCTCCCTACATGGGAGCGCGCGCTTTTCCTGCCAACTTGAATTCTCACTTGACCGACTCACAACTGCCATCCAGACAGAGCACACGAGAAGTCCATCGGACCTTCCACCCGGCAAACCTGCAAGAAAGCACCACTCCCTGCTCCATACACAGTGTTTCTGTGAATTCACCCCTCATCAGTTAAACTTGAGTAGGCTGAGGAAGATTGTGCCTGAAGCGCACCAGTTATAGAGTGCTCTCCAGGCACAAACATCACAAAAGTACAAACTTATAGTCGCTCTGCTTTCAGCGCGACATTCAAAGTCGCGCCAACCTTTTCTTCACATTGTTGTCCCCAACTCGGGCTTGCGAATTAGATGGTTTGGAGGCAACACCGTTGTGAATGGCCAACGGTCCTCAGCGCTTGTTCAGCACCTGCATGAGGGACACTGACTCACACTGCTGTCGGGTGATCATGAGAAAATGGAGCGTCTCTGTAAGTTTGTATCCCTGGTGATGTTTGTCCGTGGAGAGCACTGTATAAGCGGCGCTCTGCGGACATGGATGCAGTGAATGGGATTTTCGGTGTTTGACCACATGCTGGTGAGCTGATCTACTCACATCCCACCGCTTTAGGAGCTGCATCTGTGCCTCGATCCTTACGGATGCGGAAAACCCGGCCTCTATATAGAGAAATCCGTAACAATGCGAACCGTGGATATTTTTCGGGCACAATCTTCCTCAGCCTACTCAAGCTCAACTGATGAGGGGTGAATTCCCCGAAACACTGTGTATTAATTAAGCAGGGAGTGGTGCTTTCTTGAAGGTTTGCCGAGTGGACAGTTCGATGGATGTCTCATGTACTCTGTCTGGATGGCAGTCGGGAGTCGGTCAAGTGAGAATTCAAGTCGGCAGGAAAAGGGCGAGCTCCCATGTAGGGAGCAACACACGGTTCCCCAAGTATCGCCGAAGTCGCACCAACCTGTTCTTCACATTGAAATATAGAGACTAAAAGATTTGGTGAAACTGCGTTCTCATAGCAATCTCCATGGAAACTATACTACAACACAGCGGAGTCATCATTTGAGGGAAATAATGACGATGAAAATGACAGTAGGCATGGGCGGGTAATGCTAGCATTATGGCTGGCATTATAGTCCCTTTTTTCCAGGTGGCATTATGCTGGCATTATAACACTATTTCGCATGCAAAATTGGCATTACAAGCATAATTGCCGGTCGACAACGGTGTCATGCATGAAGCTGGCTAGGTCCAGTTCCGAAAATCGTGCATCTGAACCCGTCCGGCTTCATCCGGAGACTTGACGTTGCAAATCAACCTCCTCAGTGGATTGTTTCAGACAACATGCTCACTGTTGTTTAAGTTTTTTTCTCCTACGCTTTGGCTTTGATCCAAGACGGCCTTCTTAAATCGACTTTCCCAACTTTCAAACTGGCATTATGGAGTAGTGTGAGCATTTTAAGTAGCATTATATCCTCATATTATGAGCATTGCCTTTAGCATTATTGCAGCAAATAACTAGCATTACCCGCCCATGCCTAAACGACAGTCACTTCATATTGATAGTAATGTTACACGTTCCGATCCAACCAATTAGTACAAGTGTCTCTGGGGCAGACTGAACCATTTGAACCGACCCCAATCCTTGGCGAGTAGTGCATATTGACTGTGTGAATGTACTGGTTTCAGCTACATTTAGTGTGGACTGCTAGACTACAGCAGTGCTAGCTGGTGTGATCCTGGTCACAGATGGCTGAGCCACAGTGGTGGTATGCTCTGCTCCGCTTATCACAGACTGTTCAGACACAGGGGTTGTGCATGCTGCTCTGGCTGCCGCATGATCACCATCTAAGATCGCTGACATCTGTTGCTGCTGTTGGTCAGTTGATTCAGCGTAACTCTTCAGGCTCATGGGGTTCCTTTGCCCTGTCACAGCCATAATGTGCCGCACTGGTGTGCCAGACGCGGACAGGTGGTGCACTGCAGTGGCAAGGGCGCTGTGGTTGGGTACACCTACGAATGCTCACATCGCTTAGAAATGGCTTGCATCATTATGGTGTTCTTGTCAATGGGAGCACGGTCGTACCATACTTTTGCGCCCTTGGCCAGGTTGCGTTTCGAATGCTGAAATAACGCGTCGAGGTCAGGGTTCAAACGCTCCAGCAGGAACTAATGAAGAAGACCTGGTCGGGGTTTTGAATTCAGCCATAAGCGGCGGGATCGAACTGGTCCCCAATGCCCCCAGGGTGATCCTTGGTGGCAAGATCAACCGCAACTTTGAAGAACTCTTTTCCGTTTTCGTTCTTGCACAGCTGGAGGTCAGTCTTTTTTAGGGAGCTTTGCATTTCTCGACCTGGCAGACAGAAGTGGTAGGTCACATAAAACCAGACCTTCATATTCAGGGCATCTAGCTCCATGCTCCTCATGAACACGTCCTTCATCTTTGCGAGATCGTTGTCAGTTATGATAGCCTTGTGTTCCACAGGTCGCAGCTCGCCTGCGGATTTTCATTCTTTCAGCATGCCGTCCAGGGCGTTGTTGCTTCGCTGGAACTCGGCAACCTTGATGATGTGCCACTGGCAACTTCCAGGAATAACTGTCGGACGGCAGCCCTCAAGCAGAGCAAGCTCGCCCACTGGTAGAATAGCCCATACTGCCGCCTAGAGCCAACATACAGTTTTGCTAGGAGGGTGCAAAGCTCGTGCTTGCTGCACTTGTCGAAATATATCGACGTCTCCTTGTTCTTATTGAAAATTTTGAGAACGGTCTGCCATCCGGGTGTGGCTTTTCCTGTTGCCTCGGGAACACTGCCATTAATTACCTCTGCAACATATTCGTCTGACATGGACACAAAAAACTTTGGAGCCATTGCTCTTGCACTGGCTCGATCACGCTTGTCAAACCACACACAAACACAACAAAAACGCTAGTAAGCATTCACCACACTTTTTCTTCCCCAAGACAAACCCAAAACCTGCACAGCACGTACATACCTACAAAAGCTACTTCTACTCCAGTACGCTGTCAAAAGATTGCACAAACCTCCGTGGGGATAGCGTGTGTGCCAGCATGCATGCACGCACGCACGCGCACTTGCTCGGGAAATAAACTTTTTTTTCCATTGTGATGTGAAGTGGGGATTGTATGAGGAGCGGAGAGCGGAGATATAACAGTCCCACCCTGGTACCCTCCCAATAGGATCTATAATGCGCTGAAAAAAGGGTGAAGAAGAAGCTAGAGTTCCCGCGTTTGAGCTGATGGATCACGTGTGGGGCAGTTTTCTTTTACCAAAATTTTGATTTTTGAATTTTAGTAAAACTGCGTTTTGAAAATGCTATCTCGAGCAAAGGAAAACCGGATTTCGGGCTGATGAGCTGATGGATCACGTATGGGGCAGTTTTCAAAATTTGATTTTTGAATTTTAGTAAAACTGGGTTTTGAAAATGCAAAGGAATAATGTATTGCGCTTCGGGGAAGGAGTTCGGGCAACAATCCCTGGCCGTGTGATAAACACAGCTATGAATCCGTTTGTGGAAGACAACTAAAAAAGAGACAAATAAAATAACAGGACACATAACGGTAATCTAGTCACATGGATACATAAAAGCCCAGTGTCGATAGCATGGATACGACACTTTCGAACTCATTTTTGACAAACATCTTTTCCTATGATCTCACCCACAGCTATCCCAACAGCAGCTCCATCGACTAGCTACCCAACAACCACTGCTCCAACATTGAGCCGCATGACTGCTCAACGCACCACTCCAACAGTGAGCCACGTGACTGCTCCACCCAGCACTCCTCCAACAGGCACAACTCCAACAGTGAGCCGCGTGACTGCTCCGCGGAGCACTGCTTCAAGAGGCACAACCTCAACAGTGAGCCTCGTGACTGCTCCACGAAGCACTGCTTCAACAGGCACAACTCCAACAGTGAACCGCGTGACTGCTCCACGGAGCACTGCTCCAACAGGCACAACTTCAATAGTGAGCCGTGTGACTGCTCCACGGAGCAGTGTTCCAACAACAAGCACTAATTCAAGAGGCACAACCTCAACAGTGAGCCTCGTGACTGCTCCACGAAGCACTGCTTCAACAGGCACAACTCCAGCAGTGAGCCGTGTGACTGCTCCACGGAGTACTGCTCCAACAGGCACTGGTAACATAGTTGCTGCTCACACGGCGCATGCTCCAGCAACTACAGTCGCAGCAAGTGCCTCCAAGGCAGTCTCCAGGAATACAATTTCACTTGCCTCCAGCCCAGTGAACAGTTTGGCAAGCACTGCAACAACAAGGCCTCCAATACCTGACAGTAATGAATCCATGAAAGCCTCACCGAATTCCACACAGGTACTGTCTGCCATGACTACTGCAGAAATGTCAACCACCTCAACCATCACAGTACACCACAGCAATTATAAAATGGACACTCCAGCACCTGAGAGTTCAACTTCAGCTGCACCTACAACAGACGTAGAAGGTAAGAACCAGCAACCCAACTATGGGCTGATCATTTCTATAGGCATGTGCTGCGCACTAGTTGGACTGGGCTGTTCAAGAAATCCCTATCCCCCTCCCCCCCCCCCCCCCCTTACACCCACCGTGGGGAAGGTGACGACTACACCAGTAGGGGTAGAGATCAGACCAACAGACAGACCAACAGAGACTTTCTCTCAAGTAATCCCTTGGAAAGTTATGTGTTTCTGCATGCTACACAGTTCAATACAAAGTAATACTGCTCCTACACTGATGCATATGTCGGCAATCTTGCTTATAAGCTGTTTTCCTAGTCCATGTTACGGCAATTCTACTCTCAAATGTTCAATGTTGTTTGTGTATGTACGGGGAGAGGGGGGGGGGGTGAAGGTGTGCGAAATGGATGGGTGAGGATGTGTGTGTGTGTGTGTGTGTGCTTGCACATGTGTGTGTGTGTGCACGTGTGTGTGTGTACACATGTGTGTGCGTGCCCATGTGCGCGCACGTGTGTGTGTTTTTGTGTGTGTGTGTGTGCGTGCGTGCGTGCGTGCGTCCGTGCGTGCGTGCGTGCGTGCGTGTGTGTGGGGGGGTCAGTCCAATACCTTCATCTTTCTCTGATTACGTTTGAATCTCCTTCCCCTCTCCCGGGGAGAACCACATAACCAGGCCATACTCAGATGTTGAGCAAAGCCGAGCTCTGAGACGTTGAGCATCAACACATTGCTCAGCGATCGTCACGGGCCTGGCACAACAGCTTCTTGTTCCTCCAACGTAAAGAAAAAAGAATGGGTGTCCGAACTCCAAATGAAGTCCAACACTCGGCTGCAGAAACTCCAGAACCGTGCTGCCCGGGCAGTGTTTGGAAAACCGCGCAGCCTTGCTCTCTCCCTCTCTCTTTCACTCTCTCTCTCTCTCTCTCTCATGCAAAACATTGGCTGCATCGCAGGCTGGAGCTGTGTCAGCAGCCTCTGCATCACCACCACACGAGACTCCAATGACTTTAGAGGCAAGTACACCAACCATCAATCCCGCACGAATCCACTCCCTGTCATAATGAGTCTTTACTTCATGTCCTGAATCAACGGGAAATGGACAAGGTAGAAGTCCGGCAGTCCCTACTGCTACCGTCAGCCAAAAACACTAAGGCATGGCACACAATAAACGCTCAGTTGAAGATCCATCTCACTCAACATTTCCCAACCTCATACCTCAAAAACACTAACATCGACGAGACTCTGGACAAACTAGAGAACTTCATTCACTGGTTTTTTGACCAGAAACCACCACCACCTCCACCAAAACACAAGAATGCAAATAAAAACCGTGCAGTGGAAAAACTCCGGGCCCACAGGCGTGATTTAAAGCGCCAATTTCGTAAGATCAAAAACCCGGACGAAGTACCTGCAGCACTCAGAAATGGGTATTTTTCAATTAGAAAACAAATCAAGCGTCTTTTGAAACAACAAAAGATGTACGACGATCGATCCCGGAACAAGAGGGACCAGGATGCCTTTCTCAAGGACCCATATGCCTTCGGAAAGAAATTGTTTCAACCAACCAACCATGTCAAACCCATTTTCTCTGACACTACCTGCTTTGAGTACTTCCAACATACATATGCAGACCAGGATCGTGCCACTTCGTACGAATCCTGCCCCAGTGCAGGGAAGCCCCGGGATTGCACCCACCCAGTCGATGAGGGACCCCTACATGGACTGAATTTCAGAATGTTTTGAAGAAGTGTCTCAACACCTCTGCACCGGGTCCTGACAAGATACCTTACATAGTTTGGAAGCTTTGTCCCTCCCTTCAATCCATTCTTTTCACCATCTTTGGGCGGGGTTGGGAGAGCAAGATCATTCCAAGGCAGTGGCAGGTAGCGTGTATCACACTCCTGGCCAAGGGGGCGGTGTCTGATGATCCTTCGAAATTCCGACCGATCGCTCTAGCAAACACGTCCGGGAAAATCTTTTTCACCTTAGTTGCAAAACGCCTCTTGAAACATATGCTAGGCAATAAGTTCTTCGATGGTGACAACCAAAAAGGATTTATACCTGCAAAGGCTGGGTGCTTAGAGCCTACATCACTTTGTTATGAGGCGATGCGTGGTGCAAAGACGGCAAAACGCCAAACTTGCATTGCGTGGATAGATTTGAAGAATGCATTTGGTTCAGTGCGCCACAATCTGATACAGTATGCTCTAACCCACTAAAGCCTTCCTTTGCAATTCAGGAAATTAATTTTGTCCTACTACGACAGTCTTTGCGCTTTCGTCGTACAACCACACACTCCCACCTTTAATTACAACATTGGTGTTTTCCAGGGGTGCCCCTGGTCCCCGGTCCTTTTGAATATTTGTTTCCAGCTTCTGCTGGACTCACTTGCAGCCCCTGAATTAAGTTGCCTCTCCTATGATTTTAAATCTGCCCCTTTGCAAGTGTCCCAAACAGCTTTTGCTGATGACTTAGGCCTCTATAGCAAATCTAGTGCAGGTTTTCAAAAACTCATTGCGGTCACGTAGGACTTTCTCTCGTGGACCCAACGTATGCAGGCGGCGCCGCACAAATGCAAAAGCAGTGCAGCAAAGCTTGTAGATGGCGGGTACAAACCTTACGATCCCTGCCTGATGATGTCAGGGAGGAAGATCGCTTTCATTGACACCGAAGAGTTCAAGTTCCTGGGGCGAAGGCTGCATGCTGATTGCTCTGAGCAGACCTAGCGGGAAGACATCCGTCAACTCACTGTATCTCTCATGCAAAAAGTAGATGGCTCTTGGCTTCAAGACCACCACAAGCTATGGCTTTACCACCATCTTGTAGTGCCCAATCTTTTTGGTCTTTCCAGGTTCTTGAACTCACACAAGGTTTTGTACGTGAACTGTGCTTTATGTGTTTACCATTTCTGAAGAAATGGTCAGGCCTACCTCGATGCGCAAACTCTGCCATTCTTTTTATTGGCAGTCGCAAATGCTTTGGCTTACGCCTCCACTACCTTCCTACGGTGTGGAAATGTGCCAGTCCATCAAATGGCACATTCTTCGATCGAGTGGGGATGCGCGCATGAGGGCGCTGTACACTCTGCGTCGGAGTAAGGATGCGAAGCTGACAAAGCGGTATGCGGCGACAATAGAGCTGGAGTGTGCAGAGGCATCAGTAGGTTCAGGGACTCTCCGTCCACCGTCATCTTCAAGTCATCGTGCAGGGTTGGGTGCTCGTGCTCCGAAGCAGCATTCCAAACCCCCGAGGAAGGATCTCCTTCAAACATTTGAGGAGATCAACGCGCAGGAGCAGATTTTGAGGCTGAAGACTCTTCAGGTGCAAGGCAAGTGGTTGGATTGGACATCGGTGATGTGGCAGGACCTCTCGTGGTTATCCCTTTTGTACGGTGGTACAAAAAAATGTGGAAAAATGCGGGAAACAACACATGAGGGGAATGCAGTACCAGAACAAACATGTGATAAAGTTGTCAGTCCGGTTGCAGCTTGAACAGCCGTAGCACCTTGATGTGCTTCTTTTGTCGACACAGTTCTGGCCTCAAACTGCGAATGTACAGCGCCTCCAGTGTGAATCGGTGCGCGCTGTTCCGGGCTGGTGTGATGACACTGAAGCTGCTGTTGCGTTCCTGCGGGATGCATTCAGGTTGCGCCTGCAAATGCTTTGTGATGGCGCTATCACTTGTTGCCACACGTTTGTCAGGCGGCTTCTTGTGCAGCTTGTCTGGGATATGCTGCTTGATCCTTTCCACTGTTGATCCTTTTTCCACTGCTCCATACATTATTATGGTAGTGTAGTGTGAACTTGAGGCGCGTAAGAATATTCTTGCTGATTCTCTACCCCCAGTATAAGTTATGGCTTCGTTTTCGTTCTTGCTCATTCCCATGTACCTACTGATGAAAATGGGTGAAAAGCTTTTAGTAATATAAAACTGACAACCTTGTTGTTGTGTGTATATAAATTTTGTTTGCCTACCTCTCTATTTAAATATATATATGAGGCATCGGCAGCAAGAACCGGGGTCCTGGCGATTTTTCAAATTGCCAATATTTGCGAAAAACCGAACCGATGTCGTTTTTTAGTCACCGCGATCAAAGCGGAAAGACTTCTTGCGATATCGCTTTGAAAGTGCTTTCCTCTTGGTGGCTTCACTATAATTTGTTGTCATTGCAGTTGTAGTTTATCCGCCAAGCACTTGGGACATCCAGGTAGGCGTTTTCAGCCACCATGGAGGGGTTTGCGCTCTGGGTAGCGTCTGCAAATCATGCGCTGAAAAAAGATCGGAACAAATAATTGCTTGGCGGAACGATCCCGTCACGAATTTTTGATGGAGCACGAGCTACTGAAACATTTGGTAGCTGGATCTCCAGAGATACTCCGCTGCCTGTGATAGTCCCCCACAAGAAGAATCAGGTGAAAGTGAAGAGGTTTCGCTCAGATGACAAGCCATCAGCGGAGGCAGCGCAGGCGACGAGTTTGAGAGCTCCGTGACACGAAGTGGCGACGCGGACAGCAGCGCTGAGAGTGACGAACGAGATTCAGTACTCCGTGGCGACTATTCGCAGCTGGATAAGTTGGTGAGATACAGAGACAGCCCTGAATGAACTAAACCTTACTTGATACAAGATATTTTGTGAATAAAATTGTAGCAAGTATACATGCACGCTTGCGGTGCGCATGAAATTTGTCACAGTATGATACATGTATCTACGAGCTGCTGTGCGTAGGAGAGCAAGACATGCTTGGTGGATGTATCTGGCTTGGCCCAGCATGCATATCTAGTCTTGTACTAAGTTGCAGATTCTTCCCAGCTATGTAAAACGTCAGTTGCTTGGCTTCTTTCTGTCTGACAAGTCTGCATACAACACCAGACCTGCACAGGACAGGGATTTAGTTTTCAAGTAACATTGCAGCAAGTGCAGGCAACAATGTTACTATAATATCAACTAGAGTACGCTGTGCTTCCCTGAAGACCTATACATATTCTTAATTGTTCTCAGTCCCTCCATTA